CAGTCCCGGCCTCCCGAATGTACACTTTGGAGGGTTTGCAACGAATCTTGCTGCGCACATGAAGAAACAAGAAAAAAAGAACAACCTTATAACGATGGAATAATATGAAGGACACTATAATTAACAATGTGAAGAAACGGTGCAAATAAACAGCAACAAAGTAAACTGAGGAAAAAATACAATTATAGCACTAACAATACAATGTATTTTCCCTAGAAATATGAAGTGGTACATCCGCACACTCATCACACACACAAAAAAATGAACCCCCAGAACTAGAGAATCTAGCGTGGAATTTCAACAAATGAATAAAAGAGCAAAAAGGGGGGGGGGGGGGACAAGGCACTATGCTTTAGATATATGAAGAAGCATACCCTTAAAGACATTACTTAGTGTGTGAAAACACGCATAAAAGTGTATTTTAATTGCTAGGCTAATAAAACAGAAAAAGTTGTCAAAAACTTGAGAAGAAAATACGAAGCATTTTTGTTGATTACATCTCTGGTGCAATACTATTGCAAATACACAAGTTCAGCAGTTTGTACATTGTTAGCCGTTGAAAGGACGAATCGTGATGTGTTCCTCTAATATTTTTGTACTCGCGACAGACGACAGACTTTTTTCACCTCAGCCACCCAGAAATGAAGCCCATAGACCAGTCGCGGCAAACACGGAAAAACAAGATAAAAAAAAGTGAACGCAGCCCGATGCTGCACACTCTACATTTCAAATTGCGCTGATCTTGAATAAAAACCCGAAAGTGCGTGGTGACTTCACTAGCCACGTGTGATGACTATTGTATTTACTGAACAAAATGTATGAGCCAGTATTTTGTCTGTTTTTTTTTCTTATAAATTTTTTTTTTTGTAATGAGGATGGAGAGAATAAAAAAAAAAGGCAGAGACTGCTGCGCCGCGCGGCGCACGAGCCACCCCCACACAGAAACGGCTGCTGCGCCGCACGAAAGTGACGTCATGCATTTTCCGGTTAGGCGCTTTGTTTGAATAGTTTGGAGTGTCTAGCGGTACGTCTAGACGTAACGATAAAAGCAGCTAAAATTACGTCCAAACGAAAAAGTGAACAAAAATGTTAGTTATGTTTTTTTATAGCGTGACAATACAAAACCAGCTTGTTTGCCATCAGAAACTGATCGGCAGCTGTGGCGCAGTGATTCTGCTTTCGGCCATGGTAGTGAACGGACGCAGGATGCAGGGCTCCGTCGGAGCGGCTTCAGCGGCCCTTGAGGGCCGCGGTAACAGGTCAACTGAAGAGTACCAAGTGATTCTGCCTCATCTGCCAACAGGACGCGTTGCCTTAAATACTGTGTTTTTGCACGGAGACGTTCGAGCGAGACCCTACAGGGTTGAAGACTTCAGAGACGCGTTGGGCCCCACTGCAGTGCTAACGGACATCATAGCACTCGGAGCGTACCAGATTAATCACGTCTGGGCGGTTACACTGAACGGAGAAGACGCGACGAAGAAACTGCTGACCTTCAAGGAACTTCAGGTGAAGGGACACCTGTGTCTCATCGTTGATCCCCAGGACCGGCACATAAAACTGCGGCTTCATTGGCTGCTTTACGGAGTCGCCGATGAGGATGTGCGGACGGCGTTCGCGGCTTTCGGCAATGTTGTCGAAGTGAATCGAGAGTGCTGGAGAGTCGACGGCGTCAGCGACAAAGCGTCGACGACGAGAACCGAGCTACTCAAGTTAAAGAGTGGAGTTACGGTGGAGGACCTTCCGCACCAAGTGCGCGTTGCATGGGAATTGGCCCTAGTTGTGGCGCCGGGCAGGCCTATACAATGCTTGCGATGCAAAGGGACTGGTCATGTACGGCGAGACTGCAGGGTGCCACGGTGCAGGGTGCCACGGCGATTTGGACATCGAGACGCTCAGTGCGTCCGGTCATATGCAGCAGTTACGAGCGCTGCAACGTGCGATGAGATCGAAGAGCAGACAATGGACGCCGCTGAGGCGGAAGACGCGGCTAAGGGGGCAGGAGACGCGGCTAGTTCTCTGGTTGAACGTGGGCCGGTTTCGCCTGAAGATTATGATACAGCGTCGGAACCCGAGGAGAAATAAACAGCTAAGGCGGACACCTGCCAAGAGAATTCCAGTGAAGATGCACAAAGCCAATTGGTGGACATGTCGACGCAAGCGGCGAGAGGACGCGTCATGCCAGCGCACGGAACGACCCGCGGGATCAACACGAGCTCGGCGGTCAAGCGTTCGCTGGAGCAATCTGCGGGCACTGCTCACGAGAGCAAAGTTGAGGGACCACCAGCAAAGGCGACACCGGGGCGGCGCTCGGGCCTCAGAGCGAGGTCCAATCTACCCGTGGACCGACCGGTTGGCACTCCAAGGGACCAGCAGCTAACTGATGCCGGACCACCGGATGGCCCCGGAGACGTCTAGCAGGGAGCTAGACGTGCATGGTAAGCACCATGCTCCGGGCCTACTCCCTTTTTTAGTGAGTAACGATGGCTAGTCACTGGGCATTGAGCTTTGCAACCTTAAATGGGCGAGGTTTGGCCTCCAGGAAAAAGCAGGCTCAAGTGTATCGCTTGTTAATTGACCAAGATATTGACGTGTTAGCCGTGCAGGAGACAAAAGTGGAAGGTGAGGAGGAGACCCGGAGCATGATGCTGCGGTTTACGTCTAAATATTATGCCATAGTTAGTCACGCAAATGGAACTTCGGCCGGTTGCGTTCTTTTTGTTAAAAAGATTCCGGGATTGATTGTTGAAAGTCACTTTTCTTGTGACTCTGGTAGAACAGTGACTTGTGATTTTAGTACTAGCGAAATTGAATGGCGCGTCATTTGTGTCTATGCGCCTAACGTGGAGGCAGACCGAGAAACTTTCTTTTCGTTAATTAAGCAGCATTTACGGACACCAAAACAGCTTGTTTTATTGGGGGATTTCAATTGTGTATTGAGCGCGAAGGATAGAATTAATAACCGCCATGTGCGAGACAGAAGTGTTGAAGTGCTCTATGACTTGCTGAATGAATCTGACCTGGATGATGTTGCGAAGTGCCTCGAAGCAGGTCGCGAAGTTCGATTTACGCATTTTCAGGGAACCAGTCACGCACGTCTTGATAGGATATACATGGCAGGGGAGACGCTAGCTAAAAGCAATAGTTACACAGTCTTACCTGTCTCTTTCTCTGACCATTGTCTTGTACAATGCAACGTGGGACTTAAACAAAAAGAAAACAAATTTAGTTGGGATTTATGGAAGTTTAACGCTAAACAACTTCGGGATGACATTTTTAATAATTTTGTGATTGAGGGAATTAAGAACATTAAAGTGATCGGAGCCTGTAATGTTGGCGAGGAATGGGAGCTTTTGAAGCAAAGCGTTAAAATGAAAGCCATATCGAGATCTAGTACTTCAAAATATCAAGAAAGAATGAAAGAAAATGAACTCAGAACAACGCTTAAGAAATTAGTAGTAGTACTAGTTAGTAGTAGTAGTTATTTGACTTCAACCGAAGCTAGTCTTGTTTTGAATTAGGCGCCATCTTGGGCTAACTAGCGCTTCAGCCATGAGAGGGCGGGAGTGAGCCAATGCCTTCGTTTTGTTCTAAAGACAAATAATTTAATCTAACACATCTACCCGTGCGAGTAAATATTAGTTAATATAAAAGGCACTTGCTATGTATTGTGTTACTTGCAAGAAGTTGCACCATCTACAAAATGCTGACGGTTGTAATTCAATATATATGTGTGTTAAACAAGCCTCACGGCTTCAGAACTGCCTCCTATTTCTTGGCTATATATAGTTGAGAGAAAGATTGTAGAGTGTACTTCCAAAGTACATATACTAAAATTGGAACGATACAGAGAAGATTAGCATGGCCCCTGCGCAAGGATGACACGCAAAATCGTGAAGCGTTCCACATTTTTTTGCACTTTCTACCCTGTTAGGGTAAGGGTATGCTAGCTTGTGCTGGAGTCTTCACGTGACTCATGTTACTATGGCATTCTTTTTTTTTTTTTCATTCCACTTTTGGCAAAGCGCTTGCAATGTTTGTACGAAAATTACACTAGTGTAATTTTGTGCCCTGTAACAAAATTTCATTTCGAGAAGTCACACCAGCAAGCTTCAGTTGAATGCAGTGCTAAAATAGCTACAGTTGAGATAGAGTACGCTGAAGTTAAGAGCTTTTAAAATGATGTATGTGTACTGAATTTGTCGGCTAATTTTCTCCCTGATCCGGTGCATGCGTAAAGGATTAAATAGACTGAAATTTGTATCGATAGTACCCTTCATAAACAACGAACGAGTTTGCCCAAGTACAAGTGTTGCTAAGTAATTCGACATGGAGATATACCACATCTAAGGAAAAAAAAAAAAAAAAGGAATATAATGCGAAGCAAAAGAATTCGGTCAAATACTCCCGTCGAGATGTAATTTAACGGATTCCTATATCGTGACAAAGAACGTGACGGAGAAGCAGCTCACGGGATCCGGACCGGACCTCTGTATAGTACACGTTGTGAAGCAAATTTATAGTCCAAAAAGACAAAGCCACTGAGCTTTAACGTTATTGAATATATTTCAGTCAACTTCTTGAAATAGCGCTAGAACTTTGAAAACTTTTATGCTCTTTGCAATAAAACAATACAGCACATGTGTCTGTTTATGCAAAATGCTGCAATAATGCATAAATTTGTGAATACAAATGTTTTAATTACGCTCAAAGAGGCCCGCGCGCGTGAACTATGTTTAGTGAGTCAATGCTCTGTTTTTTTCTCCGTCGTCTCCCCTCTTTTTTGGGGGGTATATAACAATAATGTTTGATATTGTATTAGGCTCATGTTCAAAATTGAAAGTAATCACGGAGTTGGGATACATTTTGGAATTTAAAATTTTGCACAGAAATTAATGAACTTCCTTTTTTAGAAAAAAAAAACAATTTTGACTTTACCAATCACCAGGCGACAGAAAAGCGCTAGTGCTGCAAAGTGACGTCATCACAACTTGGGTTTTGTTGTGGTTTTGCGTAGTATTTGCGCTAGTTGAGTATACTAACGGTAGCTTGTAGTAGAATCGTAGAATGACCTAGATGTGGTAATATAGGTAGAGTGTACTAGAACTGTGCTCTGTGGTTAGCTTTCGAAAAGTTGCGGTTTACGTAGCCGTCAGATTGGTTCCGCTGTTTTCGTGTGTGCTTACCGTTCAGTGTGTTGGCGGTGCTAGTTCATCGCGCACTGTTTTCATCTAATCAAGATGCCTGTCCTCGTACGTTTACCGCTGTCGCGCAAAACGTTGTGCGTCCAATGCGACGGTCACAGCGTGCCCGTGGAGGAAATCCGCCGTGAAGTTTCTCGACATGAGGTGAGTGGCGCTTCTCAATCGCGTTCTAGATCACAGTTTCAACGAAATCAATGTCATGATATGCATTGGGCGTTACTGAAAAGCCGCTGAAGCATTCGCGTAATTTGGCGCAGCTCATGGTTGATCTCGTGTTTGTTATCTACGACAGGGAATACCTGGAGAGTTGCTAGCCCTGTCCTGTGGTGGAGTACGGCTACGCGAGGCCTGGGCGACTGACGGCCAGTGGTTGACGTGCGCCGTTACGGGACTCCCCGGAGGCAAAGGTGGCTTCGGCTCCATGCTGAGGGCCATCGGCGCTCAGATAGAGAAGACGACGAATCGCGAAGCCTGCCGCGATCTCAGTGGGAGGAGACTGCGTGACATCAACCACGAAGCACGGTAACCTCGGCTTGTTCGAACGCTTGCTTACGTCCGAGAACTTAAGAGGCAGGCGAAATTGACATGTCACTGGGTGTTCACGCAGTTGCATGTACTGCAGTACGAATGATTGTTGGGTGGAAGCATTAGACGTCTCGTCCAAGTTGAGAATTGACCGACGACGGTGCGAACACGAGTGACGCATAAAATCACCGCGAGCTGACGTCACAGCAGAAAATTGCGACTTCATCACGTGACGTTTATGTTCAGAACGCATTTCTTTAGGGTGGGGGTTGCGGCAGAGGAATCAACACATCTGGGAGATACGACTGAAATGAACAAGATGATGGCCTCCACCTTTGAGTAATCCTTGGTGAATGCATAACATACCCTGTGGGTTTTCCCCCCCGAGATATTTTCAAGGTGTCGGGTATGTTTACAGATGTTTTGCTTAATTGCCAAAGGCAGTGTATATTGGCCATCCCAAAGCCGATACTTTTAAACTCGCAAAGCTACCAATCCGACTCATTGATGCCCTCCTTTAAGTACAGTGCAAGTGCTGTACAACCGAGCAAAATTAGAATAAAAAGTTCCACTCGACACATGCTTACCGTAGAGTGAATGTGCCAGTTTAAACTTATCTTTCCGTTTCTTGCGAGCGTTGTTACAACATATAGCGTTGAAATCAAGCCCGTGAACGTCGCGATGGAAAAGCGAGCTTCAGCTTTTGTTGAGCAGCTGTGTCATTCTTTGCAGCTGTAGCCGATGAAAGTGCATGGATATGTTGACACAAGGCTTATATGTACTCTTATTCCAGCTTGAAACGTTGGGTGGCCAAGCAAGCTGAGCGAGAAAATCAACACAAGCAGCGGAAGGAGTACTGTGAACCAGAGCACCATTTAGAGGACCCGGACTACGAGCGCACTCGTGAACAGATACCAGAACGCATTCAAGATGCTGTTGCACAGGGTATGCAGAGGTTCCCTTGAAATGCCAGCTAGGTTAATTTAGAATGTGGACAAAGAACTAAACGTAAATAATTGATGTGGCAGCTCCGGTAGAGCTCCAGCTGCACACTCAGCCTTCACAATTTATACAGCCCCTAAGTGGGAGTGCTAGTTAACATGCATGCTACACTCGTGATAGTTGTGTATGGCAGAAGGTTGTCCGTGTTCCACTGTGGGGCTGACCAAAACACTGAGAAAATTCGTGAATAAAGACCATTCGTAAACAATTACTTCCAACACTTCAACCTCAGCTGCTACGACCCCGAGCTGCTAAGCACCAGGACGGGGGTTAGATTGCCAGCAGCATCGGCCACATCTTAATGGGGGGCCAGATGCGAAAGCACCCATTTACTCAGACTTGAATTGTTTTGAGGTGGTGGTAACCCACCCTTTACACCACACTTAAGGTATCGCAAGGGCAGCGTAAAGTAGCACAAGCTACAATGATATTGGGCCAACGTAGCTGGGTTCGGACATTTACCGCTGAGAATGCAGACAGAGAGCACAAGGGAGCTTGTGTTATGAAAACAAGCATATAAGATTGGTTATAGCTTTACAGACGGCTGGTTCAAGTTTTTGGGGACAGACTTCTTAAGTACTAGACTTCTGCAGGATCATTAACCCTCTTGTCGAATTTCCATGAAGCAGCAGCAATACTACATAAAAAATAACATGCGATGTTGTTTTAAATCAACTTGTGTGACGACAGAGTTACAAATAAATTTTTTTTTGAGTATGCTATAACCATGAAAGTGGCGTTTGTGCAGGGCTCTCTGCAGGCATTAAGCGGGCGACAACATCTACCAGGGGGGAATGCAGCGCGAGAAAACGACCTGCAGCTGCCCTGTGGTTGCCAGATCTGCCAAGTGACGAGTCTTCTGGTGAGGTTTTTGGCAGGCATCTCCTTGGCTTTGTGCGATTCGTGTGCTCCATTACAACCCGTTCACGAGATGCCGCACCCGGCCATTCATTTCAGCGATGCAGCCGTGATAAAGTTCTCCGAACCATGACGTTTTGTTCAAAAAGTGCAGGACGGTTGCAGAGCTTGTTTAAAATCAGTTTTCTCGAAGTGACTTCTCTTGCTTTGCTTGTCTTGCTGATTTAAATGCAACATCAAATGTAATGACTGGTATGCACTATTGCTCGAGATGACATACTGTCGTGACGAACTAGGTCTCTATAATGTTGGCTCTGATCTATGCGCAAGTTGAAATTACGCCGATACCACCCTAAACTGAAGGCAGTGGGCGCAAAAGTATGAGAGTTGCTTAGCCCTGAATAGTCGCTTTTCAATCCGCTAGTACTCTACATGCTTTTTAGTCTTCAGCTTGTACCTCAGAGCCATCACCTTTAGTTTAGGTGCCAAAGTGGTGAGCTACATGATGTGCTTATTGCAAGCAATAGGGCTAGTTCGTCATTTACATGACAAAAAAAAAAAATTCAAGTGTTTTTAAGGCTATGTGTGTGAATTTTCAAGGACCACATTGTTAGAAACCCTATTGGCACACCTTCAGAGGAGGATGGAGGCTTGAAATAACTAGAATTAATCGAAAAAGGGCAACATCGCTGGGGCGAACATCGAAAGCATGGCTTTGACATTTACTTTCTAGACAACTTTCAGTCATGGTTTCTTAAAGTTGCATAATCTATTTCAGCATGCCACGAGATGCAAAAACAAGGTCGGCAAAGTTAAGGAACATTTTAATACACCACTCCTTGCTGCTTTGCCTGAATTTTCATATCAATGTCCACCATCTCCTGCTGTTTGGTGTTTGCAGTCTTCTGGGGCCTGACTTCATGTGTATCAAGTCACTAGTTGCCTGTGCCTCTCCGGCATACGAGTCTGATGCAGCTGCTAATTCGTTAGTAGTGACTTGCGTTTGTTTCTTTTTTTGCTAGCATTTAGGTCTTCTTCTCAATGCAACATTTCTCTTTCTCATTCTGCTGCTTTTTGCAAGCTTCCAAATGCACATGTAGTTTTGTCCGGCACGGTAAGGTAGTCGTTTCGTTGCTCGGCTGCAGACCAGACGGTGGCGGTTTCGATCCCGGCTGCAGCGGTCGTATTTCGATGAAGACAGAATGGTAGGGGCTCGCGTAGTGTGTGATGGCAGTGCATGTTGCAGAACACAAGAGAGTCCAAATTTCTGGCCTTCCGCCATGGTGTTCTCAAATCATCTTTTGGTTTTGGGACGTAAAACCCCTAATATTATAATTAAAAATGCGTGGTATTGGTTCCTCGCAGAAAGCGTTGATGCTCTCGATTCTATTATGATGGGCACATTGCATATGGCAAGTGCTACATTTATGCCATCGCAAATAACGGACTGTGAAATGTGTGACAAACTTTATTTAAAAAAAGGGGGGGGGGGAATTCTCTCACAAATAAAGGATTTGTGAAAATTCCAGCACTTTCAAGGTCTTGAAAACAAACTTTTCAATAAAGCCTGTAGGGAATATCAGTTTCATTTAGTGAGCACTTCATATGGAAACGGTGTGCGTGTGTGTCTGGAAAAAATGCCAGAGTGACTATTTGTATCGGTATCCATAGCATTGATAGGAGTTGGACTTTGATGTCGTAAAATTCGCAGATGACGGCTCTGACTCAGCCCACGAAGATCGAGACACGTCTGCTAAAACAGATAGCTCAAGTGAACGAGACACTTCCACAGCTGAAGCTACCGCCATGGAGGCAGAGCCATCCGGAGATGGTGAAGACAGTCATCAGAGGAAACCGGACGACACCAAAGGCGCCGAGTGTTCCACCACAACCACCGAGACGTCCCACACCGAAAAACCGCAGCCACCAGACACGGACAAATAAAGCTTGCCTTTATTGTTCTCTTTCTGGAGTCTCTCTCCCTTCTTGACTACTACATACACGCCAGGAGAGAGAGGTACACACACACACAGTCTGTGCAGCCCGCCTTCAGCGTCGTGGGGGGCCAATGGACAGACGTGCAGTTTCGTGCCCCAACGCGGGCATAGTTTATATCTGTCTCTGCCGTCAAACTTTGTACTCACTCATGGCCACAGTGCAAGAACATTTAGGAGAACTCAGGTGCAGCTGGATAACACCGCCTTAAAATTCTGGAACAGCTCCGAGCCCTTTACGCACCTACGCCACCTGGTGGTTAAATCCTGTCAACCAAAGCACGGCAGCATACCACACTGTGTACATCACTTCGAAATAGTGTAGTCAGATAATCCCACTTGATAAAGGAAGGAAAAGAACAAGGTCTGCCTGCTAAGCTATTCGCCGCCCGACATCATGCTGCTCATAAGCCGTTTCTACTTCCTAGGATCAGCGTGCTGCCATCACCGGGTTGTTGTTGCCACAGCAACCAATGCACACTCACATCACACACCACCAGATGACGTTTAGCATATTCTACGGACTCTGCCCATCAGCTGACAAGAAAGCAATCTACTCTGTTGACGCCAATGCAATATGTTTGCCGCTCCTAAGTGCTTCTTGTTCTGTGCTCACGGCATTACATGCTATAGATACTTCACTGACGGCCTCCTGGTAGCACTTAAACATGAGCAAATGCACTTGTGCATAAGGGCACAAAACAGCAAGAGCTGTTGTATACATTTAACAATAAAAATGGCCAAAAGAGGAAGACCAAAATCCACTGTGAATGCATTAGTGCTCTGCATGCAGGAACGAAAATGATATGAACAGTGCAGAGACACCAAGCTTGAGGACAAGAAGACTGTGATATAAGCTTACCGGATTTTCGTTTTAACTGACATAATTTTGTTATGTGGCAGTTTGTTAGCTTGAGTCTAATTTGATCTGAAATGCAAACGCGTTTTCGTACACAATGGCCAATAGCAAATGCCCGTGGAATATTTTCAAGACATGACGGCACTCCACTTTACAACACAATACAATCACATAGATGCCGTAAAATGTGAAAACAACATTTGTGAAAAACTGCGCAACATCGAAATTTAAAATTTTTTGGTAGCAGCGACTCCAAATGCTGTTTGATGTGACATTACATATCTTCATTCGTGGATTCGATGAAAGCAACCTCATATTTTTAGCTGCGTGCATTTCTGGATGTGATTACCTTTGCATATTGTAGCTGCTACTGATAGCTGGGCACCGGAATGAAGAAAGTTAGTGCCCTTGCAATATAATTGGTTCAGAATGCTACAACGATCCCTGTGGGTGGGGTTGACACGCTGATTTGCACGTTATGACTCGAGCGGATATCCAAATGTGGTCATAACAAACGCGTCTCGTAGCTGCCAATGAAAGGCCATCCAGTGCGCACCGACGGTCTAGTGCCTGTAAATTGATTCACTGATAATGCAAATCAATGTTACGGCAATTCGAAAGAACTCGTCTGGATGCCAAAATGTGCACTTTAGCGCCATTATCCTGAGTAAGCCTTATAGGGTATCCGCACTTAATTTCATGTCTCTGCAGGCAGGGGTTAACTTTTAGAAGCACGTGAATAATGTAGAATATCACACGACACATCTCTCAGTGGTTGGAAGCGTCGGCACGCGAGGGAGAAGAGAAATGTGCATCAACATTTCATCACAGGAAGACAGTCGCATACCGCCACATGTGCCTGCAGATGTTACACAATGTTGCATCTTTATAGAAAGGCCAGGCAAATAGCTCCAAGAAAAATAAACCCACCACTTCTCGCACAACACCACCCATCTCTCAAAAGGCGTAGAGAATGTAAATGCACGTATGAGTAAGATATATCTTTAAAAGAAAAAAAATGGGAGCCTTTCCTCGTCAACAATCGCTGAACAACGCAATGCGCTCTGTCCAAGCTTAAAAACACGGCCCACACAATGAACGGTGACAAAGAACACGCTGAGGCCACTGTTGAACCGTGGATGAACAAAAAAAAATATAAGGAATGAATCCAACTAAATTAGTGTCAGTGCCAAACTTCACAAACCAGAGGCCCCCCCAGGCCTGTCTTCAGCGTGGCCAACGACTCCATATACTATTTGACATTCTTTCCTGTAGTACCAGCTCAAAATGTCCAACAGAGCTGCCTCGCCCGCTTATACCAACAAGAGGTGCGACGAAGTGCAAGCTCTGGCGCGCAGACTTCATAGACAGTCCTCCGGTGCCTCAAAAGCTTTGAACGTGAGGCTGAACAATGCTGTGGCTGCAAAGCAGCCTACTGAAAAGAAACTAATCCCAGAATCGCAGTGCTGTCAAAGGCTCCATCGCGATATCGACATATGCCACGATACAGGATTTTCTTGCTATATTCCACTGAATAATTGCATGTCAATGCTTTTAATATTGCCAGCAACTGATTTTTGAAAGATAATAACTAAAGCAGCAAGAAAATGCTGTATTGTGGTGCACGCTGTGATCTGACAAAGCGATTCTAGTAACTTGACTCCACTGTCACAGAATCACTCGGGAGTGACAAATCCCACTGGCAAAATTACTTCTGCAACTTGACCTCGGTGTCGCAGAGTAACTCGGGCAATATAACTCCATTGACATGGAATCACTCCTGTGTCCGTTACTCCAGTGATCTGACTCTGCAATGGTTTCACGGAATCACTCCGACATCAGAGTCAGCTACTCCAGTGATTTGACTCTGGGATTATGGTGTCACAGAATTGTTTCAGAGTCATGGAGTCAGCTACTCCAGTGATTTTCGTAACAGGGACTCTGGTGCCATAGAACCACTTTGGCATCACGGAGTCACTTCAGCTATCTGGCAAAGTGTTTGACAGCCTGTGAATCGGGCCTTACAGGCAAAAAGGCAGGATCGTGTCGTTTCTTCTTCGTTGCTGAATCAACGACTTTGGTGGACAAGCGCCTAGCTTTCCACGTAGAGCATCTAACATACTGCTCCTGCCAGCCTTAGCGGAATGTTGTCTGTTTTTTTTCTGTCAGTTACAATGTGTGCACGCACTCCAAGCATTTTTTTTTTTGCCTTGCATCATGCGCTCGGTACAGCTGCCATCTGTAAAAGCAGGCACCGAGCAATATAAATGTCACAGTGTTCAGGCTAAAAACTAAAATGGGAGATTAAAAGAGCGCGCGGAAATGGAAGCTGTCTTCTGTACACTGTCCTTGGCATTGCGGAGGAAGAGAGGAGGAGGCAGCAGCCGAGTGCACGTCCGTGGCGACACGCTCCTGGCGTGCCGGGCAGTGGACCATGCAAGCACCGGTGGCTTGGCCCTGGCGGTCTGTTCCGCAGTGCTGCATTGTGGAAAAGAAAGGATCAGAAACCTTCGGCATTCGTTTACAAAAAGAAAAAAAAAAATGAGGGCAGCTTTCAGTAGCGGTGCAAATCTGGACTAACAGTGGAGCTGGTGGCCACTGTCGGCTTCTACAAGCTCGGCTTGAAACTGGGGCTCGAAACGAGCAATTTAGAGTGAAATTTCGAACTTACAGGACGAAAATTCATCCAAAAGATTCGACACAAAAATGTATTAAGGCTATGGGAACCCAGAGGGTGCATTTACGAGGCTCGAGAGATCCATCTGGTCCAAATTTTCAGAGTTCAAAAAGTCCATTGAGGGCTATACATTTATGAAATAAATGACTATACAAGAAAGTTTGCTTGCAGGGCCGCACACCCCTGCAAGCAAATGCAAGCTCCTAGACCAGTGCGGTACATAGTAGCACAAACTTGGAAAACACAGATGAAAGTGTTTTGTAAGTGGACACTACTATGTAGTCCATTGACGTTGACCAACTCGCCCAACAATAAATCTTATTCCTGGACCAGGTTGCGCGCTGCCTCACCCAGTATATGCTGCCGTCTCATTTGGCCTGCGACTGCTGTTGTATCTCAATCTTCTCCACAGTCATGTCGGGGTTCATCATGGTTGCCTCCTGGATGGCCTGTGCCAGCGCACGGTCATGGTCAATGGGGTCACCGTCGCTCTGGATGGTGATCTTCTGTTCCACCCTCGTCTCGACCACTCCGTCACGCTCCATCTTGTACTGCAAGAATGACAGATGCACCATTAGCACAGTGTTCCCTACTATACCACTTCGCGATTCTCAGTCTCGTAAACATAACACTCCAGTCTTGCTGTCATGGCTGGCAAGAAATCACTCGTTCGTTCCGGCAACGTCAGCAGCATTCGTACGAATGTTCAGAAGCTTCACAAGCAACGTGTTCGCTGACACACCTACCATCGTCACATCAGTGAGCACGTGGCGACTTTCATGTCAGTGATGTGACTGACCACCAGTATCACAAGTCATAATATTACCGACATCTCGACAATTAGGCCAGGAACATCACTGTAACTCTCTTTCGAAAGTATCACTGCTATCGATGCACACGTGACCATCGTTTGACAGCTGCAAGCACTGACAGCACTGGCATGCATGCGACCGTCACAACAGTGACATCACTAACTTGCTTGACACAAGCATGTCATAGTTCGCCAAGCCAGTGATTACTCGTGCAAGTGATTACTCGTGCAAGCAGTCACGTCCTCTGCTATACTTTGGTATGATGCGGTGGAGGACTTTTCCAAGAAATTGTTGCCGGTATCTGTCAGCAGCTGACATTACAGTAGAATCTCCATGATACAAATTCGAAGGGAGCCCGTAAAATATTCGTATCAGCCCAAATTTGTATAAACCAAAAACAACTTAAAGCTGATAAAAATTATGAACAAGAACTTTATTGGCAACTACACCTTGCTGAAAAAAGTCTGTGATGTAACTTTCCTGCCTTCACGGTCTCTTAGTTAGTGCCGCGGTTTTCTCGCTCATGCTGCCAGCGCAGCGCGTTCACAGTTGACATCAGAGCAAGCGAAAGCAGCCAAACTCAATGGAAATTCACTCACTTCCACACTTAAGCAGCCGGAAAACTGCACTGCGAAGTTGCCACGAAAAATAATGAGTCCTGGAGAATTCGCATTGGAGAATTCAAGCGAAAATTCCACCGCGGCCGGAAAACCACGTCCCCGCATGCCGAAAACGTTCACATTCGTTTTGCCCCTCGTATACATGCCACCCCCGCCGCCGCCACCACTGCTTGAGAATTCATTCCATTTTGCCCATTTCCTGAGCACTGAAGTTCGTACAGAGTTATAATTATGCATACAAGGCACTGAAAAGAAACAGTTTACACCTTTACTAACATTATTTCGGAAGACTTGCCAGCCGAAATGACACGAGCGGACACAGCGGCGGCGGCGGATTCAGCTCGCAGTGCAAAAGCAAGACACGTTCGGGCAAGCCGACTCGCTGCTGCTGCACCTTCTTCTACTTCCACTGTTATCAGCGATCGTAATCCAAACCAGGCTCTCGACGACCGCGTCCTTGTCAAGGTCGTGAGCGTTGTAGTGCCACTTAACTCTATGGCCACGCGGGCAGTTCGCGATAGCGCCGCCGCGACCTACCGCCGATGCCTTCGCCGCCATGTAGATTTGTGGCTGGTTATTGACATCATATGGTTTGAGAGATAGAGCGATACAGCAGCCGGTGAAGCTAAAGCCGTGAAGCAAAAAGGCGATACTTTGCTATCGCGGGGTGAGAAAATTGGTCTTGGACTAATTTTTTCACGTCGCCCTCGTGGCGTGTTTTTGCAGCGTTGCACCGCTAGCATGCAACGGTCAATCACACATTCGTATCATCTGCGGTGGCTGGGGAAACCATTCGTATAACACGGAATCACGGTGTATTTCATATTGTAGTCCATCCAAAACAACCTTAAAATTCGTATCATCGCGAAATTCGCATCAACCGTAATTATATCATCGAGATTCTACTGTAATGGTCCTGCCTTTACGATACTTTGGTGATGTTAGTACAGGTATCATTCCCATTCATCAGTAGACAAGCTAACATATGTTTAAGGCGCGAGATCCATACTTAAGAAATTTTCGAAAAATCGTTTCACATTATATGTAATAAAGCGTGGCAAGCCCATCCAAATGCATTATTCGTAGATTTCGTAATTTGTAAGCAGCTGTACTTGACTTTCTAATAGTTTCAGCAGAGACAAAATGTCCACTGAATTGAGGATCAGACAGCCTTTGTCTTCAAAATTGTATAAAACGAAAAGATTACTTTGTCATAATGAAGTTCTATCACATCGGGTACGTGCTATCAAAGACAAACATTGCACAGCTCTCCGGTTTCATTCAGCCACTGAATATATTAGAGATTAATTGCGAGAGGCTTGTTTTTTCATACGAAAAGTTCAATCGAGGCTATAGCAACAGCACTGAAGTGACTCGGCCGTACCGTGACAGTTTCAACGGTGCGCGTCTTGCTCGAGATGGTCTGCGAGCTGACAACCTCGCCTTCTTGCTCCACAATGTCGTGGGGCGGCACGGCGCTGGTGGTCACAGTCGTCGCCGCGAAATGTGCTCCTACGGGGCCGGGCCCCTCGGCTACCTGGTAGGCCACCTTCCTTGTTTCGGTCGACACCACGGGCACACTCGTCGTGCTACTCGTTTGCAGCGCGGACACGCTCGCCGGATCGTACTTGAGTGCCTCCGTCTTCACGATGGCCCTCTGCAAGCGGGTCCCAAGAGCATAGAGTTAGTACAGACGTTACAGGAAAAAGCTGAGCCAAAAGAGAGCTGACCACAAGAACACCGTGATTACACTACCGTTGTTGCAGTTGCCTTTGCAGTTATTTAGAGACTGTCTGAAATTAACACTATTCAATGTCAACAATACAGTTGAACCTTGATATACCAAACACAGATATAACGAATTAATGGCTACGTTAAACTACTGCCATAAAGTATAAGGAATTACACATATTTTGGCATTTTTTATAGCGAAACTAATTCAAACACACAATGTATCTACCAATTTCCACATTGGAGTACATGTGCTCTGGGTACACGCTTGGAACGACTAGTTTTTAATTCTGACGCGCCTTTAAGGCCTTCATGACGTAGACGGCAAGCGGCAGTGATAGCAGTTTTATTTTTTTTTTTTCGAATGGGCAAAGACTTTTGAGATCAGCATTTGCATTCTGAAAAAATGCAGCTGTATTTTACAGCTGATTTACTGATCCTATGTGCCTTGTCACGCCACTAAAATGGAGCGGCCTTGACGATCGACGGCGTGACTGCGGCACTTTGCGGGTCACCATTTTGACCTTACGATCCTTTTGTACTTGTTCGTGTGGCCTTTCAGCCATTTGCACGTTTTTGTGGTGCTTGGTGGTGTGGCGCGCTGTGACCATGGCAAAAAACGGGAAGAAACGAACTGCCTTGACGTATGCGAAAAACTGGAAATAATTTGACGTGTTGGAAAAAAAACAAGTAGGCCGCTGCTGAAGTTTCAGAATGCCACGCAGCACGTTGAGCATAGTTCTCAAGCAGAAAAAGAAGATTTTGGAGAAAGACGGCGGGAAGCATGCAAATGCACAGCATATTCGACCCGCGGCATTCAGACACATCGAAAAATGCCTCCCATAATGGTTCGTCGATGTAAGCGCTCAAAATATTCCGGTGTCGGGGCCAATGCTGCAGCAAAAGGCAAGAGACTTTGCGTTCCTCCTCGATGCCAAAGATTTAGTGCCAGTGTGGAGTGGCTGCAACGATATAAAAACCACTACGACATTGTCAGAAAAGCCATCTTGTGTGAGAGCGAGTCTGCAAAAACCACAGCAATGAAGAAGTGGCTGAAGAAAGAGTGGCCTCGAACTCATGCCAGGTACCAACATAGAGACATTATCAATGCTGACGAAACGGGTCTCTTCTGGCAGATGCTGCCGTGGCAAACTATGGACACTCGCAGGGCAGAAATGCCATGGCAGCAAGATTAACAAAGCCCGTTTCATGGTCCTCCTAGCCGCGAACATGGATGGTTCGACAAAGCTTTATCCATTCGTGATCGGCAAACTCAAGACGCCGAGAGAGTGGCCGAGAGAGGGCATTACGTGACAGCATCATCATCATCATCGGGACTTTGCCAAGAGAGGGCACTACATGATGGCACCATCATCATCATCGGGACTGGGAATTGTGGAGGTTGCGTGTGTGGGGAAGAGGGCAGTTCGGCCTGGTTGAAGAGAGTGGCAAGATGTAGCGGTGTGTTGTGCGCGATTTAGGGTTAGTGCGTGACAAGTGGGGGCTCGTCCGGGATGGCTTCAGGCCCGACAACAGCAGCGGACGACATGCCTAGGCTCCAAGGTGTCGTTGAAGAGCTGTTGCTGGGCACCGACGGCTCCGCCATGGAGCGCGAACGAATCGCGGCGGTCGTGCACGATCGAGTGATGGCGGCGCCGCTGCCCACAGCTCCGCACGTGGGAGCATGGACTGTGATGGCCAACACTGGCGCGGTCCCTCGGACCACCGACGACTCTGCGCCTCGGCTCGCCGCTACGCACCTCCCCCGCTGCTCCGGTGTTAGAGACTTGCAGTCGCCGGAGGAGTTTCTTGATTGCCTCGAAAACTTCTGCCTCGTAACAGGGGTCGCCGCCGATAAGCGACTGACTCACGTGGCACCGGCTGCCCTCTAGGGCAGCGCGAAGTTGCGGTGGCGGTTCGTGCGTGGGTTTGACTCGTGGGATCAATTCACTGCTACCTTCCACTCCGAGTTCTCGTCGATTGACGCGAAGCGTCGCCTGAAGGCAGAGCTCGAACAGCGCACGCAGCACCCGGAAGAGAATTTGAAGAAGATTATTTATGCGATTGCTACGTTTTACGACGGCATCGGGGAAGAGGTCTCCGAAGCCGAGAAGGTACAGCGCGTACTGAGGCAGATGCACCCTCAGCTGCAAGATTTGGCGGAGGGGCATGCCTACAACGACCTCGGCGAGTTGGTGAAGGCAGCCGACGGCCTAATGGAGCGGGCTTGGCGTCACCTCCAGTACAGACCACCGCCACTACCGAGCAACCAAGTAGCCAGAGATCTGGCGTTCCGCCCTAGCCTGGCCCCCAACCATCGCTCACTGCCGCAGCCGAACACTATGGCGACGGTGTCGTTCGCTGCTGCCCCACCGGTGCCACCGACTTATCACTGGCCACTGCATCCAGCTGCGCTAGACCCGTCGTACTGCCAGGACCGGCAGTACTCGTGCGACGCAGCGCCTCCGTTCTCACCCTACGGGCCGGGACCGACGCCGCGGCAGGAGCCCACGAGTGGAGCAATGCGTGTGCAGTGTCATCGCTGTGGTGGATTCGGCCACATTTCCCGTAACTGCGCCACGGGTCGACGAATAGGGCCACCCGTTTGCTTCCGGTACCAGCGATCGGGTCACCTGCAAGCACAGTGCCCGGGAAACTAGTGGCGGTAGGTGCTGCCCCGGCGGGCACCTACGGCAGTGCGCACCAAGTAGCGACCACAGCCGGTGGCAAAGAGCCCCTTATGAACGTTTGTATCGGGTCACCGACGTTCAAGGCCCTGCTAGACACAGGCTCAAGTGTAAGCTTCTTCGAATCGCACGCCGCGGTGGCGGCCCAAGCTTCTGGAGCCAAACCCAAGGCAGACGTACACGTGCTGTGTTTGGCATCAGGCTGGTCGCAGTCAACCATGTCTCTAAAGTGCCAGATCGAGTGGGCTGCCGGTTGCCGCAGACAGCAGTTTTTGTGCATTCCTGACCTGTGCCGTGATGTTGTCCTTGGTAGGGATTTCCTGACGGTGAAAGGCATCTCTCTGCACGTGTCACTTGGTGGCTGGACTGTTGGCACAGAACCACAAAGAATTGTTCCCTTTGTCAAGGCCGTTAATGAACAGCCAGAGGCAGTGAATGATTTTGGAAACAGTCTGTGCTGCATTTTTGCTGAGGGCGATGCCAGTGTGTGTGCCAGTGTGCCAGAGGCGACCGCAGCCTGCAATGTGATCATTCCCGGCCACTCGTCGGACCTAGACCCACGCATCAAACACGTTTTAGAAGAGTTTAGTGAAATCTTCACCACCACTCCGGGCTGCACAACCCTGGCAGAGCATCGCATATACACGGGAGACAATCCACCTGTTCAATGCAAACTGCGACCAGTGAATTCCAAGAAGCAGGCCATCACGACAACTGCATTCACGACCTGCTGGCACAGAACCTCATCCGCCCTAGCCAAAGTCAGCATGCCAGTGCCCCAGTCCTGGTTGAGAAGAAGTCTGGTGGCTACCACATGGCTGTGGATTACCGCCAGCTGAATGCACGCACTAAGGTGCCAGTCTACCCCATGCCCAGGACTGATTGGTTGCTGGCACAGCTGGGACGAGCCAGGTAGTTCTCAAGTTTTGGTCTTTCACAGGGCTTTTTTCAAATCCCTGTTCAAGAGCAGGATATACCAAAGACAGCGTTCATTTGCCATCGGGGAACCTTCAAGTTCGTGAGAATGCCCTTTGGAGTTACCGGAGGTCCTGCCACGTTCCAGACCCTGATGGACCGACTACTGGAGAGAATCAATCACCAGTTTGCCATGGCGTTTCTCGATGATGTCCTGGTGTATCCGGAGACCCTAGAGGATCATCTCAAGCATGTTTGGGAGGTGTTGAAGCGGATAAGTTCGGCACAGCTGACTATTAACCCAGAGAAGGTGCACGTGTGCTGCCAATACCTGAAGTTCCTTGGCCATGAAATATCGCCAGGGCAGTGTAGGCCGGACAAGGAAAAAGTGCGTGCGGTGCTGGACTATCCTCAACCAACAACACTCAAACAGCTGCAGGCCTTCCTGGGACTAGCAGGCTATTACAGAGGGTTCATACCTCAGTTTTCTATCACTGCATGTTCACTCACAGAACTCCTTAAGAAAAACCAACGTTGGCGGTGGGAGCTGCAGCAAGAGGAAGCCTTTAGAGCACTTAAGCAGTCCCTGGCCAACAATGTCGTTGTAAACTTGCCGGACCTCAACAGATCATTCGTGGCAGAAACAGACGCCAGTGGAGTCGGCGTTGCAGCGGTGCTTCTGCAGGCAGCCAAGAGTGATGCTCAACTGCGTCCAATAAGCTTCATTAGCAGGGTCCTCACTGAGGCAGAGCAGTGCTATACAGTGCAAGAATGGGAGTGTCTGGCTGTGGTGTGGGCAGTAGACAAGTTCCGATCATACCTTGAGTTCACCGAGTTTGAGATGCACTGTTATTACTCCTCACTGTCCTGGATGTTCACCACAGACCAGGCCTCACCACGTGTAAAGCGTTGGGTTTTGCGGCTGCAAGGTTTCAACTGTAGGATCAAGCATAGGAAGGGTCTTGCAAATGTGCCAGCTGACGCCTTGAGCAGAGCTCCCCTTCAGCACCAGGAAGTTCCAGGCTCGAGTCTACACAAGACGCTGTTCCCTATGGCTGTTCCAGAGCCCAGCCCACAAATCAGCTTTGAGGCTGCTGCTGTAGCATCTGAAGTGGACGACACTACTGTCTTGAATGATGCCGGGCTCCTCGCCCAGGAACAAGAGCAGGACCCCATACTGTCAAAACTACGAACTGTGATGAAGGGAGGGAAGCTTCCGCCCACTGACAGTGATCAACCTTTAATCAAAGACCTGGCGGAGACGACAGAGATGGAAGAGAGTGGGTTGCTTGTACAGCACCGAGGGAACAGGAAAGTATCTTGG